GGTTTAAAAAATAATTTTTGGGTGGTGACAACGGAAACGGATTCGTTGTATCTAGTGGATTATCGCTGTCTTCTTGTCTTTTTAGGTTAATTATTAGCACTTAGATACTTTAGTCCTCATTAGGTAGAGTTTAAATTAATTAGGGTTAAAATTTAATATGATAATTATTATTCTAAAATAGTTGGTGAAGAAAATATTTGTGTTTGGTATAACAGTTATGGGATCCTCTACATCCTAGATTGTAGAGAATGACTATAACTCACTGATAGTCTTCTCCACCCTTATGTATTATATTAATTAATTACATTATATAAAAACTCTCCTAATTGTACGGCCCATTAGATTAGCCAATCTTATTTATGCATGCATGTACAAATGTTATGTCCTTGCTCGCGTGAATGAGTCTGATATATTTGGATTGTATATCAGTATATATGATTATTATTGTTATTTTTGGTATTTATTTCATTTTTTCTTGTGAATATGATTAGAAAAATGGACCATGAAACTACTATATTTTATGCTTGAAGGGCTCAATGCACCTAAATGTAAAGACATGATAGTTTTTTTTAGTTCATAAAAAAACAAATAGTCGGTAGAAAGTTAATAACGGAGGGATTAATTGGGGGTTATTTATTTAACTCAAAATTTTGAAAGCTCGGTACTCCAAAAATCACTTTTTAGAATAAGTACATACAATCTAAATACTTCCCACAAAAATCATTCTGTATTTGTTAACTACATCTTACCTCATAATGTTTTTTTCTTTGGCAGCTATATATGTATGTATGTTGCAATAGAACAACTGTAATTTTGAAAATAATTCCCCATTACTTGATATTGAGAAACTAATTGGCCGAGTCTTTCATTGTATTAAAATTAGTTCTCGGAATCTCCATATTTTGAATTAGTCCCTAAAATTTCTTGTACTGCTATTTTGATAATAATCCTTTTAGTCAATTTTGGCAGAAACCCTAAATAAAATTTATGTTTTGTCACTTAACCCTCAATAAATTTTGGTAAAAACCCCAATAATGGCTATTAGTTAGTTTTAGATTTTTTTTCCCAAGGGGTTGTTCATGATTTTTAGACTTTTTAGGAGGTTATTAGTAATTTTTGGACTTTTTAGGAGGTTATTTGTAAGTTTTGGATTTTTAGGAGGTTATTTGTAATTTTTAAACTTTCGAGAGGGTTATCTGTAATTTTTTGAATATAAGGATCTTTTATAATTTTTAGATTATTTAGGGGGTTGTTTGCAATTTTAAATTTTTTAAAGGATTATTTATTATTTTTGTAATGTTTATATTTTTACAAAGGCATTTATAATTTTTGCATTTTTTTAGAGGTATGTTAATTTTTTTTTTGATTTTCTATTTTTTATAATTTTAGGTTTAAAAGGAGTTGTTTGTAGTTTTTAGATTGTTCAAGGGGTTGTTGTAATTTTTAAATTTTTATTGTTTGTAGTTTTTAGTTTTAATTGTTCGTTTGTAATTTTTTAGAATTTTAAGGGTTTTTTTAATTTCAAAAAAAATTAGGCTTTTTGTAATTTTCTGTATTTTGGCCAGTTACTTTTAATTTTCTTATCTTTTAGAAGGTTACTTTTAATTTTTATATTTTTTCGGTGTCCATCTATATTTTTGTATTTTCTGAAATTTTAAATTTTTTCCAAGAGCGTTTTTAGAAAAGGGTTAAGAAGCTATTTTACCTTTAGATTTTCCTAGAAAAGTTTGCAATTTTCATACTATTAAGGGGTTGTACATAATTGCCATGTTTTTTAAGGTCGTTTTTAATTTTTAAAATGTTAATGAGCTTACAAATTCAAGATTTTAAGGGGGCTGTTTGCATTTGTTTATAGGGGTATTTGTAATTTTTGAATTTTTAAGGAAGCACTTCGTACTTTCTTTTCAAGGGTTGTGTTTAATTATTAAAAAATATGCTCATCAAAATTTTTTAATTATGGTAATTATGATTTGATTAGGATCGATTATCAATTTTTTTTATTATTTGAATTTTTTAATTATGGATAATTATAATTTGATGAGTATTCTTTGGTGAAGATGGGATCAGAAATCCACATGTTCGTTTTTAATGGGATTAGGTGTCCACATGTCATGCTCATAAATAACACATATTAGTATTTTTTGCCTTTAAAAGTTCCACCAATTTCTAATTATCTGTAGAAGAGGGATATATAAAGACATCCTCTACAATTTGGGATGTAGATGATCTTATCTTGGTATAACATGTCATAAGGGTTAAAATTAAACATAAAAGGATCTCTACCACTCTCAACTCAAAATGCATAAATTACAAAAAATCCCTCTCAAAATATTAAACTTATAAACAACCTTCTCAACAATTTGACAATTATAAAAAGCCTCATGCACAATTCAGAATTATAGAGAAACCTAGAAGTTCTAAAAATTTCAAAAAATACCCTTATAAATTTAAAAAATTATAAAAAAGTCATAAAAATTTCAAACCTATAAAAAAGTACATAGACAATATAGGATTACAAACATCCCCTAAATTTGCAGAAAATACACTAAAAGTTTTAAAAATTGTGAAAAACATCCTCAAAGATTCAAAATTTATAGAAAACAACCTAAAAAGATCAAGACTTACAAACAAGTAGTTTTTATAAATTTAGATTTTTAGCTTTTTTTATGTAATTTATTAAACTTTTAGGGAGTTGTTTGTAAATTTCAAATTTATAAATTTTTTAGTTTATTGTTTGTATCTTTTAAAATTTCAGTATGTTTTTTATTTATTTTTGATTTCTAAGTTGTTTATGGCAATTTTAAAACTCTTGGGGTTTTTTCTCCAAAGTGCAAACTTTGAGGGGGTTGTTTGTAACCTTATTGATGCTCGATATCAAACAGAATAATCCGGAAGAGGATGATTACGAGGTGATGAAGGATGATGGAGGACGTGCTCCCTTCTCCGACTTTATGTCTGGTTTTTGAACGGGGGCTTGATGTCCATGCTGCACAGACAAGAAGAAACCATGAGAGGGCGGGGACTGGTTCCCCCGTGGTTCATCTGATGGTCAAGTTAGTGAAACTCAAGTGGGGAATGGGAATGTCAGGAACCAATGTGGTTCTTGAAGTGGCAATATGCATGCCCAGAGGATCTACATGAGCTCCTCTGTCTAAACGAAGAACTGTGTGTTCTTCGTCTTTTTTTAGGGTGAGAGAGGGTGGAAGTCTTGGCCTTTTTCTTAGGTCTTTCTTCTTCTTTTTTGTTAGGTTAGGAGTATCCATGTATATATCTCCGTTATTGGGATAAGATTGGTCACCTCTAGCTCAGCATGGGGAAGCGGTGTTGGAGTGCAGGCTAAGAGCCGAGTCATCCCTCACTTTACAGGTATTGGCTGGCGACTGGAGGGGAAGCCACTTCGTCATGGGAGAGTTATTGGCTGGCGACTGGAGGGGAAGCCACTTCGTCATGGGAGAGTGTCTTCGCACTTTCTAGGAAGTGATTGAGCTGACAAGTCATGGAGATCATCATACCAAAATCTGGATGAGGCTGGTCCAAGGTGGACTAAGATGTTGACATATGCTCTGGGGAAGAGA